AATCCAAAATTTATTACAAGCCACAGTCGTCCTAGGGACCTCCATGTTATATATATAGCCTCCATGGTTCTATGGGTTGTGGTCTGATTGTTCTTTATTTTATATCTAGAATCCACTTATGAGTGAGTACATACCATGACTATCTTTCTGGGTTTGGGTTACCTCACTCAGGATGATTTTTTTCTTGTTCCATCCATTTTTGTTTGCAATTTCTTTTAAGGAATCTATTCATATTTTGGTTTATCTTGGCGAATTGTAGGCTTTGAATTTGTAATGATACTGAGATATACTTAATTTTCAGCTCAACACTGGAATATGAGATTTAACATTAATTCAGAACAAATGGAAGTGATTCAAGTAATTTTCTCTTAAGTTAAAAGTAATTCATTCTAAATTATATAGTTTCTTTCTTGTAGCCTCAAAATCATTATTGTTTCACTTATTTCCATGAATTCCATTTGTATAAATACAAAAGGATGGATCTTTATTTGAAAAACACACAAGGGTTAAAAATAATCAATGCACTAGTGGCATTTTTCTAGTTAAATTTTAATTGACAGATTACAAATTTAGCAGTTTGAATTTCAAAATGTTTTAAATAAGAAATTGAACATTTGAAATTTGCCTTGACATTGCTTAATACAATGAACAGATCCAATTTAAATAAGTTTTAATTGCAGGTTTAAGTTGCTGAACTTTAGTAAATAGTTGTAAAAATTTGAAAAACCATTTTTTCAAACAACTGATTGTGAATAAATTAACCACTGGTGATGAATTTTAAGTAATGGTGGTAACCAATTCAGGATGCTATGACTGGCTGCACATCCTGTGAGATTCATTGGTGTTTGGTGGCTTATAATGTGAGCTTGTGCATGGGTTAGTACTTTATTCCTTACGGTTACACAGAGGCCTGAGGAGATCAGACTTCAGTGTTGATGGAGTCCACATTTTATATTTTAGTAGTTGAGATTTGGGTGGTTTATGTTCACTGTTTCAAGCTTACTTCTCGATTCTTCTTTAGAAGTTATAACTGTATGCCATATTTACTATTAATTGTTGGCTAATCATCCTTTAGCCATTAGAATTTTATGAATTCGAATGTTTTAATTTTCCTTGTCATTTTTTTGTTCTGACTCTTCCACGATTTTATCAAAAAATTGTGCCAAAGAAGATACAAGTAAACACAAATGCTTAGTTTAAGTCTATGCTGCCTGTTCAGTAACTGAAATGTTTTTTTAATTTTATTCACTCTAATAAAGCAATTATATTAGAACTAGCTGACAGCAAGAAGAATATAACCAAAGATGTTGTAATGAAAAATATGTTAATATTATTGTTGAAAACATTGTCATTCATAATGAGCTTTGATGAGGAAGGTTGCTGAGGTATAGATGCTGGGAGCTGCCTTTCTAACCCAGGTTCACTTCGTGATAGTATCTCACAAAGCCTTGTTTTGCTTACATGGTGTAAGTTGGTAGTCTTGGTTCTTCTAATTCAAGACTCCATGTGATAAAAGTAGGTTTCTTGTTGATAGCCTAGGCAGGACCAAGGATTCATTGGTAAAGAACCACTAACCTGTCTTTCCACCCAGCGTGTGAGGACTGAAAAGGATTAAGGCCCACTGTAGGGAACTTACTGAAGCTGCATTCCCTTTCTCCTGGTCTTTCAGCGAAACAGAAGACTTGTTAGTTCCCATGACTGTCAATCTGGTCTTTTTCTCAAGCACTAAATTCTTTTAAGAAAGATAATATGACTTCTTTTTAGAAAGTGGCCTAGAAGGATACTGTTTTGTTGGTATGTCATGTTTGATATGTATATGTGTTTTCTGATCCTATTAACTTAGAATATTTTGAATTTGCAAGGCAGTATAATCACTTAAAATTTAATGACAGGTATTTATAGGATTAGATTTGCTTGTCCAGTTAATAGATGTTAGGTTTGGCTGTGTTGAATTTTAATATTTCATTAGAATCTGACAACCCTGTGGACATAAACACTTAACTTTTATTTCTAGATGACTGTAATTAAAATGTGCTTTGTTCTCACTGAAGTTTAAAAGCTTTGAAATAGCTTTTATAATGCTGGAATGTCATATTTCCCCCACTATCTGCCAAATTGGTATTGTACTTTATCTTGAAAATATATTTTGATTTTGTGAACTAAAAATAATTGCATAGTATTGAACATTCTCCATGGTTAAGCCTTTTTTCTTCCATTTAATTTGATCTTTTGTTGTTACTAACAAATAATTTGTGGCACAGTTTCTTTCTTTACTTTTCTTTTTCTTTTTTCTTTTTTAGAATCATTGCCGGAATCACTTACTTGTCACCTTAGTGTGCTAGAAATGTTCTCCTCAAATCAAGGGTTCTTTCTGGTTTTGTGTGTTCTCACCTGCTCCTCGCTGTAAATCATTGAGATGTCAAGTGCAGTGATTAATTAGGCTGCACGTGCAAGTGCCTTTTTTTCACCTGTCAAGCAGGAGAGACGTCTTCTAGCAAGATTAGATGGTGCTGATTCACAGCTTTACTTCAGCCTTCAACCGTGGAGAAATAGTGAATATTCAGATGATTATACAGAATATGGCATAGCAAACTTTGTTTGCTTTAGAATTCTTAATATTATGGGATACAATTATATCCAACACTATCATTGAGCTCCTAATTAGAAGCAAAGAATAAATTAGAAGTTCCTACTTAAGTATTTTAGAATTTTAGGTTCATACTTTGTAATTATCTTTTACACAAATGTTGGTATTTGATTTAAGTAAAAGTAAATATTTTTAAGTAGGTAAATGCCATGTGTATGTGTGCATGTGTATATATACACGTATGTATGAAAATGCGCTGTTCTCACTGTAGATAGCATGGCTTATACATTCTGGTAACTTGATATGGTAAAAACCACTCTTTTCTTTGAATAATAAATATTTGCAGAATGTACTGTTAAGTTTTTAGGAACTACTTTTATATCATTTTAATATAAAACAACAGACTTCAAAAGCTACTTCTCCCTACCCTGGTTCTTTAATTTTCCCCATCTTCTTTTAAACCATCAGTACAAGTAAAACCTCAAATTGTATAGTAATCTTAATCTATTATTAAAAGGTCCTAGAAAGGAAGATTACAAGGTGGATTCAGGTTTTGAAACGGTTTTACCATTGGTTTAGCAGCGGGTGGGCAGGCAGATGCCTGCTCAGAGTAGAACCTATTGCCATTTTTCACCATTGATAGAGTAGCCTTTCAGAGTCAATGAGCTCTGTCAATGTGAGCTTGTCAAGGCTACAACTTCATAGACCTGAGAGGCGGTTTGAGAGGTCAGCCCTTTTCAGGTTCGCTGTGATGCAAATGAACTCTAATGCTTAAACAACTATTGGAATTTTTATGTCTGCTCCTTGTTCTTTTTTCTTCACAAAGTCATTGACGAGACATTCAGTGCTTTTTAAATTGGAAGTTGCATTGTGCTAAAGACCTAGTACAGATTTACGGAGGGCTGAAAGCAGTTAGATCATGTTCTTTTCATGGTGCGATTAGAATCAAATCGATTTCCCTACAGCCTTCAGCATTCAGATGGCAATTTTAACAAAGCTTGGGGGCTAGACAAGGGACCAAACGACTGAACTGAATGTTAATTACACTCTGCAGCCTTATTTTCTTTTGATTTGGGGCTGACTGGCAACTAAATTAACAAAAAGTGTGACCATAACTGCTGCCCTATTTTCATTTAAAAGGAGAGCTGCCTCTAAAAGGCTATCTTACAAAGAAACAAGTGAGGGCTGCTGATCATCGCTAACAAGGGCACTTTTTCTTTAAAATTCTTGCCAAAAAGACTGTTCAAAAATTGTAATAAATTAGTCATTGACATATTATTGCCAGAAAATAGTTGATTTTCTGATTTTTATAACATAAAATTGGAAAATATAAGCACTCGTGGTCATTTGTTGCTAGCTATGAATTATAATTGGCACCTATGTGACCTGAGTGTCTTTATAGCAATTCAGCCTGCTGAAATGTAACACCGGGTTACAGTAGATACTTTCAATAAATCCTAACGTTTTTTTATGTAACAGACTTCCAGACCAGCTTGTCCTACCAGCTTTTCCCCTCACCCAGTCTCGGTTGGCATGCAAGTTTTGATGTGATGATCAGTACTTATTTACAGTTGTGCCACAGTTAGTATCGGCAGCCGCCTTCTTCCTTCCCAAGAGAGCTGCTACTGCCGCATCAGGTTGCAGTCGGTCGCGTAGCAAGCAGTACTGTCACTTCTGCACCTGCAGTGGTAGTCTCCTCCTGACACCTGGCTCCACGCAGTAGCTGCCTCATCCACACTCCCAAGGGAGAAGTGGCCCATGCTGCATGTCTGCGTCGCAGCAGCTGAGGGGGCCCTGAGCCGGTCGGTGCCCTGCATTAAGAATCGATTTTGACTCTCAGATACCACTTTCATGTTGCCTTAAATAAAAATGGGCTCTGTTCGAAAACTACAGTAACCATCAAACTGAATTTTCTCATACAGTCCTCAAATTAGTTTGATTTATAACTTATTTCCCCCCTTTATTAACCTTCAATTAGTAGTTTTTTTAGATATACCCTAAAGGCTGTTTGTATTTTGCTAACTAATATTTGAATTAATACTGTTTTTAAAATAGAGATTAAGGAATCTTCATTACTATTTAAATACTGCAAAATGTTTCCTAAAGAAGTGGGGATTTAAGTTTAAATTAAGTAAATGAAATGACATTTGCTTTTTAGACTAATAGTTTTAAATCAGAGACTAGTAAGTTCAAAATACTTTAAAAATTAAGCATATATATTTCAAAGAAAATTGATGTTTCTTTACAAACTACTGTCTCTGATGAGGTTGCTCCTTAGTGCTGAACATGGAGAGTACAGACCACTCTTGCTTGTCATCGTTTTATACTTCTTCCCTTTTCACACAAAAAGCAGCTGCAAAACAGCTTTTCTAAAACCAGTCAAGAGTAAACTTTCCCCTCATTTTTCTTCCAGACACGAAGATCGATTGAGAAGTTATTAGAATGGGAAAACAATAGGTTATACCACAAGGTGAGTGCTGGGGAGCAGCTCCGGACTGCTGGGGGCTGAACTGCACAGTATGGAAACAGATGCTTTGTTGGACTGCAAATGTGAAGGGGGGACGAATGGGTGAGCCTGGTGCCCAGGACAACGAAGCTCATCTCTCTTCTTTTCCCCTCCTTCGTGTCTAGCTGTGCTTGCACTGGAGACTGAGCAAAAGGAAATGTGAAACGAACAACATGATGGAATATGTAAGTTAAAGGGCTGTTTTGTGAGTTTCTCTATTAAATGATCATTTATTTTGTTTCTGATCTTATTCTTTCCATGATTATTAATCAGCAAAGGTGTCAGGAGCTTAATCTCCTGAGTGCAAGGATTTTCTACGGTTCACAGATGCCTGGGTTTCATGTGCAAGACTGATTTATAAAGTTATGAATGACTTGAAAACAAGGCTTCACTGTGTTCTGAAAAATAATAAATTAATTGCCAAGATAAAATGGCCTGAACATGTGTTGATGGAGTGTGAAATTTTAGATGCTGTATAAAGAATAACCACAACCTTGGTTACGCAGCACGTCAGATATGGCGTTTTTATATAATGCTAATCAGGTTTCCAAGTATGGAAGAGAACCTTTCAGCCAAGCCGTTGGAGCCTGAGAAGCCTTTATGGACTTCGGCTGCCTATGTACCTCATGGCTTTAGAGGGTTCCAAAGTGTTGCTAGAACATTGCTTTGTACAGTTACCTTAAATGTAAACAGATGTTGGCCAACCTGCTTTGTCCTTTAAAACATGGCTAAGTTTACATACACTTACGTAAATGTGTCCACACACAATCATTTTAGAAATTTAGTTTATTGATGCTCTTGATTTATTTGAATAATTGCTCTCTGTTTGAAAAGTTCAGAATAAGAAGTTTTGAATTTATTAATTCTTCTTGAGTTTGAATGTTTTACTTCAAAACCTGGAAAAGTTATTAGATTAAAAGAAAAAGATTTAAGAAAGGAAGTAATTGTTGAAACTAAAACCAGTCTTTGTGAAGGACCTGGTGTTACATTTCTGAGGAATTTTCACTGTTCTTTATGATCCTCATTGTGTATATGTATAGAAGATTGGTTAAAAACCACTTCCCAGTTCTCTGTTATCAGACAGCCACATCTCCTTGCTCTTCTTGAGCAGTGAAGATAATTTACAGGTTCTTTTCCCAACCCCCAGACTGTCTCTGTTCACAAACATTTTGAGGGTGAGAAGGGACTATGTTGCTTCTTTGCAACCATGAAAAGGGACACTTGAGTGACCGACCGACCGACCGTGTGAGGTTGGCCAGGATAGGTACTAGCCATCTCACTGTGGATAGGAAGAGTTCTGTTACCCGTTGGGGGCAGTTCAAGGGCTTCAGGAAACACTCACTGCTGTTAGACATTTACAAACCCGAACACCAAGCTTAAACCTGAAGCTTTAATTACTTTTTACATGTTTGTGAATTTACTTTGGGAAGGAAAAAAATGAAAGTTAATAACAAACTGGAAATAGCCCAATGGTAGAGCATGTGCCTGCCACACAAGGAGTTGGATTTCCTGCATTGAGAAAAGAAAAATCTAGATTATGTGATTTCCAAGTGGAGCTCTATGAAGAGCATTCATTCATACGGCGTATGAACCTTATTTTCTCTTATCTTTAAGAAATTCTTTCATTACAATTAAATTAATAGTTTTTTAAAACATTCTAAACTGTATACTTCATGAAAAATTTTAATGTCCCTTGAGTTTTTACATAGTTAAGTACTTTTAAATGAATTTTATTTCACATTATCATAGAAGGTATACAAAAAGTACTTTTAAAATTACTTTTAAAGTGATTTTTAGATATTCTTTGTTTGTTTGTTTTTGTTTTGTTTTTGAGATAGAGTTTCTCTGTGTAACAGTCCTGGCTGTCCTGGAACTCGATTTGTAGACCAGGCTGGCCTCGAACTCACTGAGATGTGCCTGCCTATGCCTCCCAAGTGTTGGGATTAAAGGCGTGCGCCACCATAGATATTCTTAGAGTATGTCTATTTGTGGTAGTTCAAAATAGGAGTAAACAAAGCTTCAGAACCCCTTGAAAAGCATTTGAGCATCATAATCACACATAGTCTAGTAAGAAGAAAAAGTCTCCTTATTTAATGAACTTGAGCCTTTCTGCTGTGCATTTATATATGCCTTTGCCTATAATTTATACAACCTCTGATTGTTAAAGTGAAGTACTTCCCCTTAATTATGTTTTGACTGTTAGAAATAATCTAGAAAATAAATAACCATGCAAAACTATTTGTTTTGTTGTTTGTCACTCGGGAATGAAGTACGTGTGGGGTTTGTGAAGGAAAACGTTCACAGTCAGGGCACTGTCCTCAAAACTAAGGCAGATTCAGAGTTAACAGTAGTCATCGTGGACTGCAGAGTTGGCTCCTCAGTTAGGAGTGCTTGTTATACTTGCAGAGGATACAGGTTAATTCTTAGCTCCTCCATGTCTGCTCATAACTGTCTGGAACTCCTCTCCCAGAGGATTTGACATGCCCCTCTAACCTCTGAGGCACCAGGCATACACATGGTGCATATTTATATACACACACGAATGGTACATGTATATACCATATTTCCATTCAGCAAAACATAAATGTGCATAAAGTAATAAAAATAAAAAATAGCC